AAGTGGTTGAAAGGCGCCTGGGGAAGCACCAAATATAAGTGGCTCACAAACCGACTATCACGCTACGCAATCATCTTGTACACCCTCAGGATAGGGTTGGCTATTGGGATAACAAAGATGTAGTCTATAAGATTCCATGTGACAGTTGTAATGCAGTGTATTGTGGTCAAAGCGGAAAATCCGCCTCTACACGCCTACATGAACACCAATTGGCTGTGAAAGGGCGGGACCACTTATCCCAATTCGCCATGCATACCCTTGAAATTGGGCACAAATTTACTTGGTATAAAACACGCATTGTCGGTTCCTGCCTACATAAGAAAGGCCGAAAATTCCTAGAGGGCATTCACTCTGATGATTCATACATCAATCGACGCATCGATTTTGACGCCATGTACACAAATCTCAAGGATAAATGGAAAAGGTAATAGCCAATCAAGACGTGACATCAGCCCACAACATCAGCCCATCCTCAGCCACGACAGAGCAATATCAATTTCTTGGGCATGTTTAAATTTTGACTGTTTCTTCACACTTACTACACGTCTGAAGACGAGCTGAGGAACCAGACTCGAAAATTTACGAAATAAAGTTTGTTCATTTTCCCAAAGGACTCATTCTTCTTCGAAACATATATATATAACATAGATATCCATATATACATCCATGACATATATATACATATGACAGATGGTCATACTGTACTCCCGACACAGGTACTGGCTAAAATCTCAGACACGTGCTTCGCCGATATTCTGCCGCTGCTAACACAGCCGCGGAGGGTCCGGCTCCTCAGTGGGCCCCCCAGCGTTCTCCATGTGGTTTGTCGAATGTGAACTCCAGAGAATAATTAAGATACCAAGTTCGGAAACTGCTAAGTGTAGGACACGGAACTTAGTGCCTGGGATATTACCTTTTTGGGGTCAGACCCGAAATATCAAGGAACATTTGAGTTGAAGACAATCAACTACTGTGGGATAACCACGTAGTACTCCCATCAGTACAATTTTATATAGCGGATGATTATACCGTACGCCCTAGTACCTATATCACGAGTATGGATTTCATGCTGCTCGTAGTACTACTTGTTCGTAGAATGGACATTACGTGTTTATTCCACAGTAGCTGATTGTCTTCAACTCGAATGTTCATTGAAATTTCGGTTCTGACCCCAAAAAAGTCATGTCCAGGGGATTTAACTCCGAGTCCTGCACTGAGTAATTTCTGAAATTATTCACTTGATTATTCTCTGGAGTTCATATACCAGAAACCGCATAGAGAACGCTGGGGGTCCCACTAAAGAGCCGAACCCCTCGCAGCTGTGTCACGCAGTAGCAGAATATCGGCCAAACACGTGTCTGGGCTTTTAGCAAGTATCTAGGTCGGGAGTACGGTATAATACCTTTACCATATGAATATATATATATATACATTCAAAGAAGAATGAGTCCTTTGGGAAAATGAACAAACTTTATTTCGTAAATTTTCGAGTCTGGTTCCCCAGCTCGTCTTCAGACGTGTAGTAAGTGTGAAGAAACAGTCAAAATTTAAACAATGCCGAAAAAAATCGATATTGCTCTGTCATGACTGAGGATAGGCTAATGCTGTGGGCTGATGTCACGTCGTGATTGGCTATTACCTTTTCCATTTTTCTTTGAGACTTGTGTACATGGTATCAAGGTCGATGCGTCGATTGATGCATGAATCATCAGAGTGAATGGCCTCTAGGAATTCTCGGCCTTTCTTATATGGGCAGGAACCGACAATGCGTGTTTTATCCCAAGCGAATTTGTGCCCAGTTTCAAGAGTATGCATGGCGACTTGGGATAAGTGGTCCCGCCTCTTCACTGCCAATTGGTGTTCATGTAGGCGTGTAGAGTCGAGCTGGTGACACCAGCCTGTCGTCAGACGAAATAAACGGAGGAGAAAGTGAAATAGTCAGACAAAATTGGTTGGCGTGACAGGGCAGCCACTAACAGGCAAGCAACTAATGCATGAAAGAGGGTGGAGACATAACTAGGCTAGGGTCTGTGGCGGGAGAGGGAATGGGAAACTGTAGCGGTTCCCTGTGTTGGAGGGTAGGGGGGATGACGATTCAATGTGACTACGGACAGTGGATTAATAGTCGTCGATCCGGCATGCTGGCAGAGGTCAGTGAGCCAACGTGGAGGTGTCAGGGATTGCAGTTGCGGTCCATTGTGTCTGGGGTAGGGGGTGGCGAAATAATGCGATTATACATGGCCCGGTATGGATTAGCGGCTGCTGTTAGGTCGTGGGCGCAAGTCAGTGGGCCGGGCACGCAGACCTTCGTAATGAGCGTCCAGATTTACATGGGGATTGGTGCTGGTCCAGGCTTCGAGGGATTCTCAGGCCTGTTTGGTGTTTGCCATGGCAACAATTTCGGTTCCTTCCCAATTGAAGCGATGGTCCCATTCAAGGGCGAGCGCACACACGAGTGACAAAGGGTCACGTCAGCGGATGGCTAGTTTATGTTCGTTTATACGCATGACAAACGTATTATACCGTACTCCCGACATAGGTACTAACTAAAAGCTCAGACGCGTGTTTCGCCGGTATGCTGCCATTGCGTGACACAGCTGTGAGGGGTTCGGCTCCTCAGTGGGTCTCCCAGCGTTTCCTATGTGGTTTCTGGTGAATGAACTCCAGAGAAGAATCAAGCGAAAAAATTCAGAAATTCCTCAGCGCAGGACATAGACTTAAGTCTCCAGGAAATGACGTTTTAGGGTCAGATCTGGAATTTCAGTGAAAATTTGAGTCGAAGATAATGGAACGAGCATGTTCTGTAACCTGATCGGTGAGCGCCCATCTTTCACGATTGATATTTCCGATCACAGCCGACAGGACAACAGGCCCGTGGCTCAACGGTAGTGTAGAACTCCGTGACCAAAGATCCCCGGTTCGAGTCTCAAGTGATCCACACTTGGGGTTGGGTATGAATGGCTAATGACCACTAGTAAGCCAGAAATGGCCATTCCGGTCTCCCTTGTGTTTGTCGGTATCATGTCACACATATGTAAATATATGCATGGAATGGCCATTTCTGGCTTATTAGCCATCGTCAGCTAGTCATAGCCGACCCCGAAGTCTGGAACACCTGTGGCTCTAACTCGCGACCTGTTAGTTAGAAGTTTACGCCTCTAAACACTGGGCCACGAGCCCACTGTCCTGTCGATTTTCGACCGGGAATATACAATGGCAGGGGACGCTCACAGGTCGTTCTTACGGAACTTACTCGTTCCGTTGTGCCTTACGGACTCTCGACGGCCATTAAGCCAGAAATGGCCATTCCAGTCTCCCTTGTCTGTGTCAGTAATATATACTGCTTATATCATGCGTCGCTGTGCGGCTGCTGGTTGGGCTCGAGAGAGAGTCGATAAGGCACAACGGGACGAGTGAGTTCCGTAAGAACGATCGGTGAGCGCGCCCTACCAATATATATATGTAGGAGGAAATTATCAACAAGGACAAGGGATACTGGGATGGCCACTCCCGGTTTAAATGTCATCATAAGCCAGCCATACCCAACCCCTGATATGGAGTATCTGAGATTCGAACCTGGATCTTTGCTCCTCGAGTCGAACCCAGTACGATTTTGCCACGACCCCGTTGTCCTGCTCGGTGCGATCGTCAACACTAAATTTGTTGGACATTCTCTTCCCGTTGTGCCTTAAGGCACACTCCAGAGCCCATGGAGGCAGTCGCATAGTGGCCACGAATATATACTCAAAGGAGTACTGACAAAGGCTATTCTGGCTTGGTAGCCGTCGTCAGCCAGTCATACCCAACCCCAGGTGTGGGAGGCACCTAAGGTTCGACGTATGATGTATGAATTATTTAGTTCTATTTTTCATTGGTCATACACTGCCGATGATTTCATGAGGGTGTACGACTGTTAGTGAGACGTTCTATTGAAATACAATACGAAAATTTTGACCGCTTCATATTAATCTCTCACTGATCAAAGGGTCGCCTAGCTGAGAAATCTATGCATCTGTTGTAAAACCTTGCTTAACTTATAGACTACAGCTTGCTTTTCCATTCCTTGGAGAACCCAAAACAGTTGTTTCAGTATGTAGTAAATCCGCTTGCCAATGCATGAAATCAATATTTCTTTGACAACAACTTTAAACGCTAAAACAGACTCATGAAGGCGAAAGTCGCGAATGGGTCCATGTCAAATTAATTAGTTCCTGCCGCATTACGCAACGGTCAACGGCGCTGCAGGCTCTCAACATGCCAAGAGCAAATTTGCGATTGGCAACCATCAACACAGAGCATTCAAATATGGTGACTAGGTGGGGACGAACAATTGCCGACTACGTGCTATTTGTCTACGTACCACAAGTTGGAGAAACTGAGGAGCTAGTTGCTCGAAATACAGCCTACGAAACAGAGCATGCGTTATTAATTAGCCCCAAAGCAGAGGACTACACAACGCACCTAATTCGAACGAGGTAGTAGTAGTAGTAGAAGCAGTGGCCAAGAGCAGTGTAAAATTTAGAGTACAGAGCACTGCCTCAATAAGTTGACAGCTGGGAAGATTACGCAGGCGGCGTTTTTCAATAAAATACCGCGATACTTGCGCTAGACGCATTTATTTAGGCAAAAATAAGCAACTTTGTGGCAGATATTTCACCAAGAACACAAAGATGGAGCTGAGTTTTAAGCTGGCCGGAAGAACACATCGGCGGACCAACGCAAATTCAAAAATCCAAGTTAACAGCTGAGAGCAGCACTATTAAATGCAGTTGTCTTAAATAATAACCGAAGAGCTACCTAAACAGGAGGGCAGACACACAGAGGCATCCACTCAGTCATAGTCCACACAGAGGAATAAAAAATCCTGTTGAGATGGGGCGCTGTCGAGGTCGACAATACATGCGTCAGAGGCAGCAGCGGGTAATAAGACAAAAATGCGCTAGATGGTATGTTAAAATGAACTGAAGGGAGGGGGGGGGGTTGTATAAACACTTGCGCATTTATAATGGACTGACATTACCATGATTAAGCTCTGCTTCGGTAATGGAGATACTGGTCGCTGTCGAGGCCGGACTCAGCCCGTCAACGAGGGACCAGGCGGTATCCCCGCAGAAACCTTCCGACTGCTCAATTTTTAGCCCCTCCCCATTGGACTTTAGACGGTGCTGCCGTAAACGACCAGACTTTACTGCAGCAGACGGTGGGGACGTGGCGTCCGGTTTCATGGAAGAGGACGACTTGGAAGGCTGTTCTGAGTCCGCGGATACCGGTAACAGTAGGGAAGTTTGGTTATCTGAGGTTTCTTTCTGGAAAGGAGGAGAGGCTCGAAACTTGACAGTGCCAGATCGCATGTTCAGTCTTTAACACGCATTAACGGCTTGTATTAGTAGGAATTATAGTAAGGGTAACGGTGAAAATAGCGCTAACAGCAACAGTAACAGTGACAACAGTAGTACTCATAGTAGTAGTGTTGTAAGTGTTTTTATCTGTAGTAGATATGGTGGTATTATTGGCAATGACATTAAAATGGTAGTGTTACTCGCATCAGGGATAGTACTGAGTTGTAAGTGCAAGCAATCGTATTAGTAGTATCGACGGCATCAGCAGTGGTAGTGTTGGCAGGAGTAGTATCAATAGTATTGGTGGTAGTGGTTAGTAGTTTCGGTGGTGGTAACAGTGATGATGATGCTGCTGACGGTGGTGGTGGTGGTGGTGGTGGTGGTGGTGATGATGATGATGATGATGATGATGATGATGATGATGATGATGATGATGATGATGATGATGATGATGATGATGATGATGATGATGATGATGATGATGATGATGATGATGATGATGATGATGATGATGATGGGGGTGGCGGCAACTGTGGTATGCGTAGCAGCAGTAATGCATGAAACGACGCTCTGAAGCTGCGTAATGATAGCAGCCGAATGAAGAGTTGGAGGGATGTAGCACCCCTAAGACCCGAGAAAACTAACTAGCGTATAAACGCATGGTGAGCCCATGAGAAAATGTGTGGATGCCGATGTTCTCAACAAAACTGCGGAGGAAAAAACTCCATCGGAAGTATCCTTAGACTAGTTTGCCACCAAGTGACCACCTGCAAGGCTTCTGGACAGCATTATGACGGAACGCAAGTATTTTACTCAGCAGGCTGGATAAATTGCAGAAAGCCAATAACCTGCTCTCCCCCCCCCCCCTCCGACAATTCCCGATCGTAGTCGGTTAGGCCCAACAGGGAGCAGGCCATAAACTTCGTAGCTAATAAAACTTAGGTTTAAACTTCGGATCTGCATTGTCCGAAATTGGGAGCTTATGGATGATAACAAGAAACAGGCCAGAAATGGAGATTCCAGTCTCCATTGTTTTTGTCGATAATACTTCTCAAAAATGTCTGGTAGTCTACGCTCACCTTCATCGTAATCATGAGGGAGGGGTCGTCAGAAAGGAAATGCTGAAAGGTCTCGATCATAGTATGATCCGCCTGGCCGTTGCCTGTTGTGTTGGAGGACACAGCCTGGGGTTCCCTCCACACACAGGACGAAGAGTGTGTAAGGGGGAGGGGTTGCGAGTTTTGCCGGGGGAGATCACAGAGATCGATGAAGACGGGGGAGGACGGATTTTGGGCGATCGGTACCAGGTCAGAGCGACGTCGGCGCTTTGACTCAGAACTATCGAGTAGCGCACTTTCGAGGGCGGCCGCTTTACACCCATTGCCGACAAGGTCGTTTGCTGGTGGAGCAGATTCGCGACTGCGTTGGCGGGAGGCCCGGGTTGAGGCCCGCGTGACGGGTCGAGCTGTCGCGTCCGAGTCAGATTCGGTGACATCCCTTGAAAGGAGGGGAGGGAGGAGGGGCGAGAGTGCAGAAGGGGTTGTTTCATCAATTGCACGTGATTAATGAACCCCAGAGGACAAGGGGCACAAGTTAAGAGGCTAAAATGCAAACTGGGCTTTGGTGTTTCGGGGACCAGGGGAAGCGCGGAATGTGGTATTTGAAGCCGTCTACAACGATACACACTAAACACCCATCTACGCAAGCGACCTCGTATGTCTATAACGGTGACCACTATTACAATCAAGAAGTGCACACTGCTCATCCTCTGACATATATTTGCTTAGGAGAGTATACGCTGTCGGTGAAATCTGGCCAAATGTGCGTTAGGACGTCTGGGTAGTGGTTATTTGGTTATCAACTTTTGAAGGGTTGCTATTTCAAGATGTTTCCTTGATCGAATATTGATTAAAGGGGATTTCAACATGTTTGGTGGATCAATCACAGGCATGACTCAGAAGGCAAATGTACAGAGCTTGATTAAGACATGCTGGTGAACTGGCGTCCGTCATTTGAAGCAGACAATACCTTCAGAAAAGTAACATGAAAAACGATTTAGCCATCCCTCATTAAGAAGTTAGGGTGCAGAGTACAGAAGGATACTGGAGATGTTGTCACTATAGGCCATCGAGATGAGTAGGAGGAGGGGGGTACAGGGTGGTGGTGGTGGTGGTGGTGGTGGTGGTGGTGGTGGTGGTGGTGGCGGCGGCGGCGGCGGCGGTGGTGGTGGTGGTGGTGGTAGGCAAGCAAGCGAACGCGAAAATTGAGTGACCCCAGCTAACAATTCCCTACAGGGGTTGTGGTCGGTGACGACGAGTCACTCAGTTAGGGACGGCTTCCATGTATAGGCAAATCAGCACGAGGTAAAGTGGATTCTTAAGTGTGTAAAGTTTGGTTAGGCGAAGGTGAGGAGCCAGCAATTAAGTTGCGTGGACAGGGAGTAGCAGAAACTGAAACACTCCCTTCAGGTAACAACATTAAAGAAAATGCAATTTACTAGGAAAAGTAGAATAAGAAGCGAAATTAGTGCTCATTTTCCTTAGGACATATGACTGAAGATAAGCGAACACCGTGAGGAAATCGAAAAATACACAGCACTTAACGTGGGGCATTTTATCGAGCGTAAACTTGCACCAGCAGATGGAAAGATCTCCAGCCAAAGTCTAGTCTGTGCAGGGGAATATTCTAGATGATGATTGGTGCTGTAAACCCACTAATGTAATCGACCATATCTGGAAGCACATTCAAAATTTGCCGGCGTTTCAAAAGTTTTCGCACTCCCTGCAAACCGACATTGGGAATCATACTTACGAACATTTCCAGATCTTTCTTGCCAAACCTGGTAGGATGTCACAATGCGATACTGTACATTCTCGAAAATCAAACGGTTTCAAGTGGATTTACTCAACTCAAAGGATCCTCTTCAGAATTTGAAGTACATAGAGGTACACCGGACAGCATATTCTTTCTGTGTATGTTTATAACCTGATGCATGTGAATGCAAAAAAAGGCATTCACATGCATTTCAGGAGATTTTCACGTGAGTCCTACGTCACATTGAGTTTTAACGTTAATAAACTTAGTGCATTCACGGGTGTTCTTCTCGGAGCGGACATTCGTTCAACTGAGTCAAATCAACGACCTGAACTTCAGATAACCTCGACACCGATTTTTCTGCCAGGTGAGGAGAATTGGGAACCCCGATATCGAGTACAGGACATCATGATGCCCTCCGGCACTCCGCCACCTACCTCTGCCATGCTAAATTCTAAACATGTTGGGAGCTAACTTGTCTGAGCATATTGAATGCCGGTGAAAAGTGGGCAACACATGGGCCAATAAAAAATTTTGGATTTTAGCAGTCGTGCAGCAAACAGGGATGACCACTTTATCCATCTTCAAAGACATAATTGCATGACAGTTAGCGGAGAAAATAGTCCTGGGTTATTCCTGACCAGCCAGTGAATTTGCCCCTCCCCTGCGGAATTTCGTAGCAGAACTATTCTACAAAAATCCCTCGATAACGCTTTCTATTTTCCAAAGACCGCGTTAATCAAAGGCCCTCAGCTTGGAAATCCAGGTAACTATGCGGTATGGTTTTATTTTAGACAAATTTAAGATGGAGGCCTGGATAAAAAGCAGATTAAAGGGCGCCACTGGGATGAAAAAGTCAAGAACCGTTATCGTCTGATGGTTTATCTGGTCGCTAATTACGGAAAGTGGTCGACGGGGGATATCATAAACAACGTTCGTACGTACTGTTACGCAAGACTTTTGGCCCAACAGCCTCCATCGCTGCCAGAGAGTCAAAGTAAATTTCCAGAATAACGCACTGGTTCATGCAACGAAAGAGGTGTGCCTCTAGTCCGGTTTACAACTAACTTATCACTTTAAAACGATAGCCAGCCACTTCATATGCGGCTTTATGACATTATTACGTGAATTTCGTCGATCACAATCTTATTCTAAACAGCTTTCTCTAGTAAATCGCAATTGGTTAAATGTTAATACGAGCCCTAGCACCAAACAAAAGCTGTATTATGTATTTGCTAACTCAATTCAACAACCGACGATTGACGGTCTGATTTCCACTAGGTTTCGCATACTTCATTTCGTTTGTCGAAGCCCGCGAGTACAACGTGAAGTATCAGAAGTTCTTGTTCATTCACACCTCAAAACAACTTGGGCTTTTCTATAGATGCCTGAATATTCTGTGGAAGTACAATTTAAGTTAACGCATTGGCCCCCACCATGCGTATTTCCATTTTCGGTAAAGCCTTAAATACTTCACGAGTATTATTTGATGCTGTATCATCGGCACGACTCGTATTATAAGGAGCGTAGGTCGTGCGTTCTACTAGATCCAAGGTTTGGTTGGCTGGTGCCGTCTGTGGGAAAGTCGCACGCCTGGCTCTCGACTGTGAACGAGACCATGTGTCCTTGCACCATCATACCGCAGGGGGGAAGGTGTATCCCATTTTGATAGCTCGAGTTAAGTGGATTGCAGCTTCACCTGCGAAAATATACTGGCTCCCTGAAAAACTCGAGCTAGCGCCGATTGTCGGGGTTTGGGCTACCCCTCTAGAGTGGTGATGGTAACCGTGGTGCCATAGGAAGCACCAGTTACTAGGTGACCGGAACGATCCGAAGGAGTGTGAATTCGCTCCTTTCCTCTTGCGGCTGTCGGGTGGGGCAATGAAACGTCTTGTCTGCCTTTGGTCAGATAGTGACGAAGGGACGTGTGTCAGAGGCAGGTCAATATTGCAATTGATCGCGGGATCAGTTGACAGCCAAGTTTATTGCAGATAACTTGCCATTTGGTCGTCTCTTTGCCCGACTATGCTGGGTCCTTCGAAAATAAAGCTCAAGCCAGTTTCAGCGATGTAGGTTGCCACCCGTAAGTTGGTGTCAGTCCTCCACAGCACCTTCCGAAGTTTTCGTTACCGTTTGGGAAGTTATCGGCCGGTTTTTCCGACGCGACTATGCTAGCCGTCGCTGCACTGGAGTTCCTAGACGACAACGGGCGTCTCCCGCCGGAAATTGGTCTTTCGGACGCATCATTTGTCGACTGAGCGGTGAGTCAGGAGTTGTAGACGATCCCTATTCTAAGCGGCGAGGGAAATCTGGTCAAGGTTTTGCAGACGTCATTCATGTGCGGGGCCCTCGCCACGATGTGGGCTCATTTGTTTACTCATTTAGGTCTTTTCGGTGCATCCTGTTTCTTCCAACGAATGCATGCTAGTATCTGTTGGCCTTGTGGGGCTCTCAGAGATTATCGCTTGTCTTCGTCTTGGCGGCTGGAGGCCCACAGACATTTTCCACTGGCTTATTCAGCTAGCGTAGGGTATCTTAGTTTCTGCCGAGGGAAAGCGCTGCTGTGATAACTGAGACACTGCTTCCACTGATAGCATTCACGAGCTGAAATGTTAAACCAGCATCACAACAATCACTAACACCAGTGGTGAGATAGCAGCCATTAACACAACTCACATGTGGGCGATCAAACAATCAGCACAATAAGTACGAGTGGCGGAGGGGAATGCGAGGTCTGATAATTATGTCGATTGTGTTCGCACAGAAACTGCATCCTATGAATACTGCACCCTGTACGTTTACTATCCTTCCCTGTTGTTGTTTATGATGATAGGTTCGAGTATAAATCCGGAACGCCAGACGAATAACATTACCCTTTTCAGCGATCTAGTATCCTTCTTTTCAAAGCCGGGTCTGCAGCGTGAGGGCAAATTTTCCACAGTGCATTTTCGCCAGTTGATCATCAGACTGGCTGAGGATAAGGACGTCTAGGAGGGGAATTACATTTTCCAGTTCCATCTCCATCGTGAATCATTAATATACGCGAGGATTTTGCAGTACTCAGTCTTTTCATGATCGACGATAAAGACGACATTAGTACAGCCTTCCCAAAATTTGGATTTGTACATGGCGAAAGCCTCCCATTCGAGATTTTTGAAGACAGTCTCAGCGAACAGCCCGGATAATTATGCATCCAGAGACTAAAAGGTAGATCAGTATCTTACGAGTTCAGTAGGTTCTTTAGTTGTAGGCTGGCCGTCAACGAAAACTGAGTTGCGTATGTGTGCTCTTTAAGCGAGTGGAAATCCACTGCAGAACAGCTACCAGGGAAAGGAGTAATTATCTCCTAGAGTACTTTAGGGACAGCAGTGGGGAGTGCGGCCCTTGGAGGCGACACTGGACAAACAAAACGGCGGGTCTGATGGGGGAGGGTGCACCCGCGCATGTTTTAACGCTAGCTGTGCAGAGGCTACGCTGCTATCTGATAATGGGTGGCCTACATTTCTGCTTGAAACGTCGGACGAAAGCCTCACCCTGTGATATGTTGCTTGGGCGTCACATTTTTGCTTATTATTGATATTATCTACTCGTGAGCCACTAATACTTGCTCTAGCTTTAAGGTTTTTTTTTAGTTTTTTGCTCCCCAGTTATTCCCGGGTTTTAGATAATTCCGCGTGCTTTGGCGTATACGCTGCATCTAATCTGTACAACAAGTCAACGATCAACCGACCTCATGGCGGCATTACCTTGTAAGGCGCGGTGTGAGTACGAGGCCCAGGATTAAAGCGATACAACTAGGAGGCCGGCACGATTTTCTGAGAAAATTAACATGAACAACAGTTAGGGGACAGGAGTGCGTGGGTTAGTCGAGTACCTGATGTTCAACGGCACAAAAGGAAACCGGATTCAGCTTAAACGACACGGCGCCAGCCTTGGTCATAAACCAGGGCGACGACCTGTCAAAATATGGCGCGGGAGTGAGTCTGTCCACGAAATTGCTAACCGTCAAGGGAGATGGGTTGGTCGAAATGACTTATATGGCCCCGCTTGGGCAAGCCGCCGGAATAGGCATTCTCTCTCCCCGCCCCACAACCCCACGTACGTTAGGGTGAATATTCCCCTATCCTAGCCTTAATCCAAACCATAACCCTAACCCTGCCCGGGAAAGGGCATATAACTAATCCCCACCGGCGGTTAAGTAACGGAAATCTGCATAGGATAACCGCAGGGGCAGCAGGGTCTTGCTGGGAGAAGGGGCTTATGACGGTAAGCAAGAAAAACGCGAAAGTGGTAACTTACGGTAATTCCAACGCCTGAGTCATTCCGTTGTCACTAAGGAGACGACGGACAGCCAA